TATATATATATATATATATATATATATATATATATATATATATATATTTTGTCACTAGCCGAATCATTCATTCACTTACTCTGAACTACTTTATTATTCAAATATTTTCTCTTCCTAAATAATTTTATATGTCTGGTACATTTGGGAATTAAACTTCTCAGATCATCATCCCTTTCTACGAATTCTACTCTTTTTGTACCTAAATATATAAACACTGGAACACCTCAACTCCTTTTGTATATAAACACTTAAGCACTGGAATAGCCATTTTGTATCTCTATGAATTCCAGAAGGTCTATTTGTTTTAAATTCAGATTTATATAGACTACAATTATTCCTTAAGGGAATTATATATATTTAAACAATATGGTCTAAATAAATATTTTGAGTGAGAGACTATTGTGGCTTCAAAGTAAGTTTTATTCTAAACAACATTTTTTGAAACTGCATAAAACTTTGACATGCTATTTATTCACAACAAAACAGAACCAATGTGATCACTTGCCAACTCACCCACACTTAAAAAACATAAATTATCATAAAACTATCAAAGCCAGTTATGCCTCAAAAATGCACATGCATTACAAGAAGAGTAGAAATGGATGAGCTCTCATTCTGGTAAGCAGGTTTGCTTCTTCCTTCCCTGGGCAAATCAGGAGCGCCTCCCACTCTCTGTGGGGGCACTCAGTGTAAGACCAAGCTATATGCATCACATTATCTGAGCTACAGACATTGGAATTCCAGTGATGAAGAAAGTGCAAACAGTTCATAGTCACACTACTCCCACCTCTGTGCAGGGAACAGCATTCCCATCTAGCTGATGCAGATACCAGTTCTCCAGGACCCCCCTCATCAGAGGTGCCCTGTAACTCTTTCCTCAATTCTTCTATGATTACCATTTCCCCAACTGCTGGAGGACAACAACTTAAATTTTCTTCAGCCTGCATTTATTGAAAATAATTATTCCTTCTGCTTACCTGAACCAGGGATTTCTTGAAAGAGAAATCCATGCACTCAGCAACCAGTGCTTCCACTTCCTGGCCACCACCTACATTTTAACTCTGCTGGCTGTCTGGATTCTGCCCCTCACTCCCTCACAATGTGCTCTCTGATAGGCAATGTTCTCATCACATCTGGTCCCCTTTTCTAGTCTCCCCTAGCTCCTTAGACGTTGATGCAGCTTGTAGCACTAACTCCTTCATTCTGGGCGGTAGAGACTGACAATCCTAGTTTTTCTGGCAGCAACGTCTCACTTTCTCTCCACTGTAAATAAATACAGGTGTTTTCCAGAGCCAGACTCTTCATTCTTAAATTTGGCAATTTCATTCTCTCCTACGGCTTTAAATATCACTATGTAAAAACCCATCACTTTGTAGCCAGGGACTGTGCTAAGTGGCAGGAAATGCAAGGCAGTGTCCCTGCGCAGGGGGCCTGACAGTTTGGCACTTTTTGCCAAAAAAAGTGGAGAGTGGATTTAGACCACAGGCTCAAAGAAGAAGAAGAAGGAAGTCCTTAAACCAGTTTGAGAAATGCCATCCCTTCCTCTCTATTACCCGTAAATTTTTATTCATTTTTGCAACAGTAAAGAATTGCCTGCGACTTACTGAATATTTTGCCATTTTCCAGACTTTGATAGGTAGTTGACAAATACTAGGTCTCTGAATCCTCAGAAAATATCATGAGCTTGATATTATTACTCCTTTAATTTCACAAACAAGGAAACTGAGTCAGAAAGAACTAGGCACCTTGCCAAAGTCATTCAACTAGTAAAGTCAAAGGTGCAAGTTTGTGTGAGTGTCCCTCCCAAGTGATTAGGGACCTTGAATTAGAATCTCACTCCCAGAGAGGCAATCATGGAACAGAGCAGAGCCTTCCTCCAAAAATGCTCTCTCTCTTTCCTGCCTTTCACTTGGTTACTATCCTAATTCCAGTCTTTTTTTCCTAGATTACTCAAAGTGGCTCTAATTAATCTACCCATTCCTCTTTTCTCCCCATTCCAGTGAACATTCTCTCTTCTCAAATTCCCACATATTTGACTCTTCCACGTGGCATTTGCTTTACTGAGGCTACATCTTTGACCTCTTTTCAGCAAAATCAGTGGGTGGGAATCCTATCTGATTAGCCAGTGGATCTCCCCCTCCCTGTCCACTGCCTATTTCTCCAAGGCAATGCTCTCCTCTCCACCTGCCTACCTTCCAACCCCTGCTCTGCACTGTGAGCTTCTGCTATTCTTCAGACTTCACTCTGATATCACTCATTCCCATGGCAACTGTCCTAGTCTTCCATTCAAAGCAAGTTCCCTAGCAGTCTCCTGCATCACAAGGGATCTGTCTGTCATAGCACTAATCACAGGTTATGACTACTGTATTGACCTGTGTGATTATTTGATTTGGGTTTGTATTGCCTCTAGAATTTAAAAGGTAAGACATCTGCTGGGCTTGTATGCTGGCAAATAAACAGGTGCTCAAAGGGCACTAAAATATGTGATTCTCCAAGCTTCTTTCCTCAAATGTAAAATGATGGTAGCAATGACATCAAAACTGTGTCAAAAGACTCACATGAAATAATATAGAGTACATGGTACCCTGCCTGGCAACAATAGAAACTCAATAAATGACAACCATCTATATTGCCTCCAGAAACTTTCCACATATTATATTTGAATGATTCTTTTATTCCCTTCTAATTCTTCCCAATATATTAAGTTTTATTCTAATACTTTGCAAAATGTTTAATGCATATTTAGTCTTAATGAATAAATGAACACTTTGTATTTGTATTACACATAATACCATATCATTCATACTATAACCCTATAAGGTAGGCACAAGGATTATTATCTCTTGTTTTAAGGCTCTTAAATGATATAGTGGAGAGGAAGACAAATCTCTCAATTACTACTGATAGTTTCAGCTACTCA